GGACACAAATCAAAATGCCGTGTACAAAGCAATCGCCACGATGAGCAAAATTAAAAGCGTAGAGAAATAAATCGGCAAGAAGTACCCTTAAACGTCAATACCGGTTTCTAGAAGGTTTAGAGCAGAGGTCAGAAAACTACTGCTTGCGGGCTAAATCCAGCTATGTATGGCCCGTGGATGAAGAACGGTTGTACATCCTTAAGTGGTTATACAAGCACCTACATAATATCTTCGATTTTGCCCCTTGGCTCACAAATTCTAGAATACTTACCATCTGACCCTTCACAGAAAAATTTTGCCAGCACCCCATTTAGAGAGTGTGGATAATTGTCTTTCCCCCCTTTTTTTCAGCTTTCTAAAGCCAAAATATGTTACTTTTATAATCAGAAAAATGAACTGTTTCAAAGGTGTAAACTGCATTTTAGAAAGGTTTCCATTCAAAATCATTGCATTTTTTAGGTTGTCCCTTAGAGGGCTGTGTGTCAATCACTGAAAAAGTCTTATGTCATATGTACAGCTCATTTCCCAAGAAAGCCAAACAGGGGAGACCCTGCCACCATCGGCTCCATTCCAGGGAGCTGGAGCTGAGTGCTGGACCCACACTCTTGAGCACTCTGGCAGGAAGCCTGCAAATGTTGCACGCCAAAACAAGCTTTGACGTCAAGAAGCAATTACTGAAAAATGACTACTTTTACCAATTTGGGAAGCAACAGGGAAAACGTCTGCTTCCCCATCCCGGCTGCCCTACCAAGTCCCTCATTACACATCATGGGCAAATCGCCATGGCACAGCCTAGAAACAGGGTGACTCAGAAACGAAGGATGTGGAGAGGTGAGTGGGCAAAGGGAAGACACGGAGAAGCAGAGCAACTCTGAAAACAATCCTGCGGGAAGCATCCTCAGCAACCACGCTGTCAGCCCGTTGGCCCCATTTTACAGGTGAGAAGAATGAGGCCGGATCTAGTCATCCTCTCTCAGCCAGATCGAGAGCTGTAAAAGGCGTCACCTCGCATCGTCTCTGAGTAGGAATTGAATTTCCTCCAAAACACGCCCAATAAGAGGTCGTTCAGATCCTGAGTTTACTCACAGCATGGAGAGCTCCCACCTTTGGAAGAGGCAGGATTTACCATTGAGTGGCACCGACATAGTCTGAAAACTCATTGGAAATGTGCCGCTCAGTCCCTCCACTCCCTGGCCTATTTCAGCTCTCTGGATGCCCCATAGAATAATAAAATAATAACAGCCACACGATGATAATAAAAGTCCACAGTCCAAAGTCCCAAAAGCTCTAAAAATCTGAAAGCTATTATGACGCATTTGGCAACGCACGCGGATCTGAAAGGGTGTGTACGTGTGCGTGCGTGTGTGCGTGCATGTGAGCGTGTGTGTGAGGGTGTGTGTGTGCGTGTGCGGTCCTTATCTATCCCACCCAACATGAGTATGCTGGGCTGCACAAATATCCCCGTGTTCGGCTCCAGGGTGCTGATAGGGTGCCGTCGCAGACCCCACTGAGAGCGTCATGCGCTGTACAGAGCGTGCTATTAGGGTGAGCCATGCGAATGGATCGCTGCAGGTGTAAATGGTCAGATAACGGCAATTTCATACGGTTCGACTTAATGCTTTTCTAAAACCTGGTCCCAAGGATTTGGGATTAAGGAATTGAGGACCTGTGATCAAGAGGAGCCTCCACCTTGGAGCACTAACCATGTGATAAGTGCTGAGTCAAATGAGATTCTCAAATTAATATTCCACTCACGCCTCTCCCTAGGATCCCGGGCTCACCATCCAACTGCCTCCACAGCATGTCATCTCCACTTGGGTGTCTAAAAGTTAACTTAAGTGGTGCATGTCCTGATCTGAGCTCTGGAGCTTCCTTTCCTGACCCCCCCTAAGGGCATCTTTATCCTTCCAATGCTCCAACCAAGAACCTTGGATCCAAACTTTCTTCTTTTTCTCTCTCACCTCACATCCAGCTTGACAAGAAATTATGTCTGCTCTACATCAAAATATATCCAGGATTTGCAACTTTTGGGGACCCTCACTATCACTGCCCTACCCAATCCGCCACGTGCCTCACCTGGACCATTGCAGTAGCCTCCCTGATTCCACCCTTCTCCAGGCTCCTCTCAGCACAGCAGCCAGGAGGGTCCTTTTGAAGTGAAATCAGAACTTACCACCCTCCTGCTCTGGGAGTAACCTTCCAGAGACTCCCATCTCCCTGAAGGAGAAGCCAAGTCCTGCCCATGCCTGGAGACCCTTCATGGTCAGCCTCCTGGACACTGCGGTCACCTCATCCGCCCCTCTCCTCCTCGCTGCTCCGGCCATCCAGGCCACCCTGATGCTCCTAGAACACCCCTGCTCAAGGCCAGGGGCAGCCTTCTGCCAGGCACCCACGAGGCTCCCCTTCAGGGGACTTCAGGTCTTCACTCAAACATCTCCTCTCCCAACAGGTGGCCTTTTCTGACCCCCTTATTTTAAATTACAGGTTAACTCCCAATCTCCCTTTCCTGTTTTTTTCCTAAGGCACTAAGACCGCCTGATATACTATAAATTTAACTTATTTATTTCATTTATTGGCCATCTCCACTAGAATAAGCTCCATGAAAAGGGAGATTTTTGCCTGTTCTCTTCATTGCTTTATCCCCTAATACCCAGAACACTGTCTTGCATGCAGTTGACACTCAAGTGCAGTAGCTCATCATTTATCTGTAAGCTATTTACCTTTGCCTTGGAATCCACTGAGAATCAAGAAGGAAGCAAGAAGTACCTTGTAGCGGTCAAAATAGGTGTTCGTGTCACCAGAGAGGTTATACAGATGACAAATAAATAAGTGCATGAAAAGATGTCCAATATTGAGAGCCATTAGGGAAATGCAAATTAAAGCCACAGTTAGATATCGCTATCCACCTACCAAAATGGCTAAAATTTTAAAAAATAGTGATAACACTAATGCTAGAGAGAGGACTCAGAGGGATGTTGGCTCCTTCACACATTGCTGGTGGGAAGTGAGATGACACAACCACTCTGGTTAAAGACACGGCAGTTACCTACAAAACGAAACAGGTGCCTCCACAGGACCCAGCGACTTCACTCTTGGGTATTCACCCCAGAGAAGTGAAGACATACATATTCACACAAAAACCCGTACAAGGCTAAGAACACATTTGTAAATCCCTTTAAGATGATCAGGATAATCAGGTATTAAGTGTGTTTATGTATTTAAAAGTTACAACAGCAAAGATTTCCGACAGTCTCAAGGAAAATTCTCTTACTAGATTTGTTAACCAAGAAGGAGTAACCAAGGGACATAAAGATCATTCTTGGCTGAGATTCTTTGAAAATATGTTAGATGCTTATATCCAAAGATGTTGATTAGGAGTTTATTATGTGACAGTCACCATGTTAGGTGCTCAGCCACAGGGAAGGGATATAGCCTAGTACCTGTCCTCTTAGATCTGAAGGTTTAATGGGGGTGATGAGAAAATAGTCAATCACAGTCTAGTATGAAATACTCAATGTTAGGGGAAGAACGTAGATGAGCATCTCACCCAAGCGTGGAGGCAAGGAGATGCAGGAAGGGTTTTAACATGAAGTTAAAAAATAGAGGAGTGTGGTGATATGAAGGGAAAGGACTGGAAGCTTTCACAGTGGAGGGAACAGCATGTGGAACAGAGCAGCTGCTCCATAGTGCACTGGGGGAACTGCAGCTTGGGAAAGTAGTAAGAGAGGAGGCTGGATATTGGGAAGGGGTGATGGTGGGCACAGACCAGGTCATAAAAGGCCTTTTCAAGTAGCCTAAAGGAGTTAGGCTGTGATATAAAGAGAAGCAACTGAATGGAGGCACTAGTCAGGCTGGTTTCCACCAAATGCCACTGAACATCCCTAAGCTTTCCTCTTTCTGCAACCCATCATTTTGCAAAAACCCCTCCTCTTCCCCGATATCCCCTTCCCTAAGCATCAAGGACTAATTCCAGCACCACCTCTTTCTCCAGGAAGCCTCGGCACCCCCCAGGTGGAAGGGATGACCTCCTGCAGGTGTCCTGCACGCACACTCTACAGCAGCAGGTGCAGTGCAGTGTAACGGTCAGGAGCTGTGGGGTCAGCCTGCCCGAATCCCAACCCAGGCTTCACTGCCTACCCTCTAGGCTTCCAATGGGATGACTAGCATCGCTACATGAAAAGGCTACCCCAGGATTGAATAATTTCATTGATACCTTGGACTCACTTGGAGCAGTGATTAGCACAAAGCAATGCTAACCTTTGTCACACGCTGTGGGCCCCTTACAACTTTGGGCAAGGCCTGTCACTGGTGCTCAATCATCTTTGGACTAATCAGAGAGTAGAAGTCCATGTCCTCTCCTCACAGACAGTCACCTCTATGACCTTATATTCTTTGCTTAGACAATTGGCCAACACAGGCTAGAAAAACACTTTCCTTTCACAAGTAGTTGTGTGGTAGAGCCCAGCATCCTGAAGCAGGGTTGAGAAGAACGAGATCGTCCCATCTGTGCGATGGGATTGGGCTCCTAGGCGGCTGGCAGCAGATGGAGGGCTGGGCCAGCTCTGCAGGGCGGTGGAGCAGGCCCATTCCCTCTCCCAGGGTGCGGGCTCCACGCACCTCCCGGCCTCGCTTTCACTTCCAGCGGCAGGCACTTTCCTGACTCGCAGGCACTTCCAGACTCGCAGGGCCCGCAGCCTCCCCGGGAACAGGTAGGTTTCCATTCACCCGGCCTGACGACTTGATGAATTCTCTCTCTCTTCTGGGGACTTTCCTGACTTCCTTCTGTAAACGAAGGAAGGGGCACATGAGCACGCTGTATATAAATACGCTCGGGAAGCTTTCTTCTCTTTCCTTAAACCAAATTTGGTTTCTGTTGTAGGCGGTGCATTCCCTCGCAGGGCGGGGCGCAGCGTGCTGTGGAGGGGAGAGGAGAGGCCAGGGGGAGGAGTAGGCAGCGATTAATTCACCCACTGTGAGAGCTGGTCTTCTATTTAATGGGGGGGCTCCCTGCCCCAGAGGAGTCAGCTCTGTCTCCAGGACCAGCAAGACCATGGCAGAGGACCTGGGGCTGGGCTTTGGGGAAACAGCCAGAGTGGAAATGCTGCCCGAGGACGACAGCTGCAGGCCCAAGGCCAGAGCTGGGCTGGCAGCCAGGAGCAGCAGCAGCACCCGCTGGGCTCTCACCTGTTGCCTGGTGTCACTCCCCATCCTGGCAGCGCTCACCACCTACCTGCTCGTTGGCCAGCTCAGAGCCCACGGAGAGGGCTGTGCGTCCCAGGTAAGCAAGGCTGCGAGCTGCCCTGGGGCTCAGCAGACCCTCTGCGGGCACCTGCAAGCTAAGGATACCCCGGGTAGGGCTCCCTGATCCATCACCCTCCTTGTCCCTCTTGCTTCGACATGCAGAGGAAATGCAGAACATGAGGGGTGGAGAGGCCCAATTCAGGGTTTGTTCTCAATATTTCCAGGGAGTGAATTGTGCCTTTTTATGTTCATATGCAAAAGATCTCAAGCCACATAGTTTTAGACAATTGTAATCGTAGTGCACTGATAAGTTGAGACTGTTCCTCTTCTTAAAAAAAAAAAAAAAAAACAAAGAAATTCTTTCAATTGCATAACTAATACACAGTCATTGAAAAAAGTTAGAAAGTACAAATTAGGAAAAGAATTATCATTACTCATAACCTCATAAGGTGGCCACTCTAAAATGTTAACATTTGGGGGTATGTAATTTCATATTTTTTAATAAGATGGGATTATTTTGAGTGTCTTAATATGTTATCATTGAATTTATTGTTAATAAATTCAAAGCAGCATAAGGATATAGATGGCTGTATTATATTCCTATAGATGTATGTGGTACAATTTATTTAATCAACCCCCTTGCTTGAGATTAGAACAAAATATTTTTCAGTGCTTCAAAAAGAACTGTCTGCCAGATTGTCTATCATTCAGGTCTTGC